TGTCACAAGTGGAATATATTTTTCACGCGTGCTCACACACCATTTTACGATGTTCACGTGCGACCACAATTCATTTCACGATATTCACGCGTGTACACACCGCGGTACCTACTAAAATTTCCCCATGAGACAGATGATAATTTACTTCATCTTTCTCCATGGTTCGATCATCCCAACATTTCTCTTTCGAATACAGAAAATCAAGAGTCTGTAGCTCGTACTTCGAACATTATTCAAAAGGCAATGTACTGCATTCTATTTTGAAATTGATAGTACACGATGTTGTGCTTTTCTAATAGAGTTTATCTTATTTTTGGTGACTCCAGTGGAAAGAGCATGAAAATATGGGTAGAAGTAACACAGTATTAATTTCTGAGTTATAGAATTTCAGCAGGCTTTTTAAGTTAGTTTCCTTTAGAACTCGTAGGAGACGGATATGAGTTCAAAGCGAATGAAAGATGATGGCAAAATTTTCTCCTTAAAGATATAAGAGAGTATAATTACATGCACAAAATGAAGCGTAGCGTTCTTTAGTCCAGAAGATAATTTCTTCTAAATATTATCAGGATTTTTCTTTATCAGAGAAAAAGTGTGTTAAATCCGTTAGCTAAGATTTTCTCAACATCTACTTTTAATTTCTTGTTGTTTGTAATGGAAGAAGTAATAAAACACTTGTCAGTTGTTGGCTTCATTCAGTACAGTAAAACATTTAATAGCAAATATAACGTTTCACTATTCTTCGTCTTTTTTTTATGAATAGGTGTGCATAATTACAAAGAAATTTAAACATGTCTATATTCGAATTATAGCTAGCTCTCTCAGTTTAAGGGAGCGAGAGCACAGTCTGAAGTATATATTCAGCAATTTTTTTCCTTTCCTGGACTTGTAGTTTTTCAGAAAAAATTATTCAAATTTTTTTCAGGCTTTTTAACCAAATTTTAAAATTATAAAATGAAGACTTGTTTGCTACATCAACAGATAGATGACATCAAGTTGTAAAAACCGAGTTCATTGTTTCAGGATGAAGTTTGAAATTCAACTTTTATCTTCTCGGTAGAATTTAGGACTAAAAGTATTTTGAAAAACTCATCCGTAATTTCTCGAAAAGGAAGCATTTTGGAGCAGAAGTGTGGCTTCAAAAGTTGTTCAGAATGTCATTTTCTATGGGATAAGACTTGGTTGGCTCAAATTCTTTAAACTCGAATTTTTAATTAAAGTTTAGGAAATTTTAAAATTTTAAAAACTGTATTTTTTAATTAACAAAGCAAGTTTAAGGAATTTCGAACGTTTCTCTGCAGAACCGGTTTTCTAGAAATCCCCTGAAATCCTAGTAATGTTTTATCAACATGTTGGGATTGTAACCACCGATTGTCTCACTTGGGAATGCTCCCTCCTTAGCTAAAAATTAGAGAAACTTTTTAATTTTTAATTTTTTTGCTAAATTTTTCCAGTTTGTAGAGGACACTTCGAAGTATATGTTCTGAAGTTTTTTTGGCATACTGATGTCAGTAATACTGACATTATTTGGCTGAGAAAAAAATTAATTACTGAAAAAAATGTTGTTAAACTTTCGACTTACTAGACTTACCGAGCGGCCAAAGATGTATTATATAATTTGTAAAGTGGTCACTCTTGTAGCCCATGAAAGTCTCTATCAGATGAGGTATCGCTTGAATCTTTTCGTTGAGTTGTTATTTTACAAATGGGACTTTAGCAGACTTAGCTAGTAGAGTAGGCTAATTTAACGTTAATTAGCACTAATTAGTTAATAACAGGAAGGAAAGAACAAAAATATTCTCCACACATTTTTCTGTCGATCTAGACAAGAACCAAGCTTTTAAATGAATGAAGAATGGATAGCAAATTTTTTAATAATAAATCCTGTGCTCAAAAATTTAACAACATTTTTTTAAGTAATTAATTGTTTTCTCAGCTAAATAATGTTAGTCAGCTGAGAAAACTTCAGAACATATGCTTCGAGAAGTATCCTCTACGAACTGGGAGTGTTTGAGGAAAATCTAAATGGGGGATCCTCTCCTTAAGCTTTTATCAGTCTAGCTTCACTTGAAACGATTTCATTGACGTTGTATACACACCGATAAAATTCAGACTGTCTTCTGGCCTGCAGTCACACACTGTTTGAAATGTATTAGTTTCTTATTTCAGCAAGCTTGATTGCGTGTTGATTTTTTAGTTTTAAGAATTCTAATTGTTCAGTGTAATAGTAGTACCAAAGAAAGCTTTTAATAAAAAAAAACACTTTTTCGAAACTTATATTGAAAATTTTCGCTTGTCTATTTGCAGAATTCTTTTAGCAGTTTTATTTTCTATTTCTATGTTCGCCACAAGTACAGAGCAAATCTGCTGTCAACTGCCATAGTTGCTGTAGCATAAGTGAAAGTAATCTGAGTGCAAAATAGACTTTTTTCGAATGGCAACATGCCATATGTTGTTTTTCTTGAAAGTTAAAACAACAATTTGTTTCATCTTATCTTCTGATTTTCAGGTTGTTCAAGAAACATGACTATCGGTTTCAGACATATTAGTATCGTATTTCTCTGTAGCATACATGAATATTTTATTTCCTAATTAAAACTTTTCGCATAATTACGTTTTCTTTTTTTCTGGAATTCGCGAGCTGATAGCTTTTTATACAATAACGAGAGAATTGTTATTACTCTTCAATGATCTAGAACCAAACTAAACATGTGCAACTCGACAAGTACGATGGTGCAGGTACAGAACGCTCAGGAATGCTTATGGATCATCATAACTATGCACATCACTATTCTAGATTTCGATCTTTCAGAATTTTTTTTTCTCATATTTGGACATCATCTCCAAAACCTTTTCTTCTAGTACTTTTTCAATAAAAATGTTTTTTAATGTTTATAATTAACCTATGTTGGTGCTGAAACTTCCTAAAATAGGTCGACACTGCATTAAATTAGAATCACAGCTTCAGCTAAAAATCTCACACTTTTGGTTTCCTACCGTTGGAATCACACTCACAATTCTCGTAATGTGTCTACATAGGACCAATTAGTTGATGAAGAAAGAATTAGTGAAAATTTACCAGTATTTGATCTCGAAGAACCTTTTTAAAGTTCTGAATGCTATCATAAAACTCATCTTCCAGAGCTTTTTACAGTAGACAATTTTGACAAATAGAAACTAGCAATCTTTCTGATAATACTTCTTTGTGAGTTACATAGATGTAAGTTGAACTATCTGATTGTCAGACTTCTTAAAAAATTTTTTTATAAAAACTCATCTAAATTAGGGTTTTTGGATAACGTTCAAATGGAGAAGAAATTCTAAAAAATCGAAATCACAGGTCTTTCACCTGAAACGAAGCTACGAGTTGACTAGATATATCGAGACCCAAGACACATCGGTTTTCTATAGAATGATTCGAAGTGACGAAATGAAACTATAAAGAATATATAACACAAAGATGAAACTATCTTGTGATATGATTAAAAATTTAAAATCACTTTCAGTATTCCTCAGAATTGTCTTAAAACAATATTATTAGCTAAATGTAATAAATCAATACTTTTATGAAAATAAAATTAAAAATAAATTTAGTGTATTAGATCGAGTGAATAAATTTATGGCCAGGATTTAATGAACCACGTCTGATTGCAGCTGAACTACTCATCATTTTGTTATATTTTCTGATAAATGAATAAAGTTTATTCGAAAGCTTAAATAAGTTTATAAATGATGAGTAGTTCAATTGCAATCATACGTGGTTCATTAGTGTATTAGAGTCCTCTTTGTACGATCTATGCAACGTTTTAAGTCTCGAGTATAATTTGCGTTCTTCTTCACTTTGCCTGCGTTTAGAGGGAAGCTCTTTCTCATGGAAAACCTTTTTAAACCAAATGAGAATATTGTTTCAATGGAAGAGAAACTTGCTCTGTTACTGAATATAGTCATTATCTTGTCTGTTTGATTGTTTGTCTATACACGTGTTCTCTATGGAATAAATTATTATTTAATACATTGCCAAAATTATGCAGATATTAATGCTTCTTTTTTTTTCTTTTTTTTCCTATCAATGAAACAAAAATATTTTTTCGTTCTTTTTCTCTTTTCTCAAATGATATAAAACCCAGAATAAGAAAGAATTAAAAGATGTAAAGTAATTGGTTTCCGACGCCTGCGTCTATTCTTCTTTTCATTCGAAAAAGAATTGTATTTTTAAATTATATTTTAGATAAACCTAATTGAATTCCGGTTAATCTCAAATTCATTTTTTTTTTTAATTTAATGTTGTCATTAACACTTTGTCTATCAAATACTAACATATTAAATATATCATGACTAATTCAGAAACAACATCCAGTTATAATCGATCAATAACAAAAACATCGTTCTTTCGCTCTATCAAGAATCAGACATCATTGTTTGAAAATGATACAATGTCGTATAGTATGCATCCTATACTTGATATTGTCCATCGTGTTGAAACTGTATTATTACCATGTCTATTAGTTATCGGTACCGTTTGTAATATAATTACATTTCTTGTTATGAGACGACGTCGAATGAGAGTATCATCAACTTGTTTTTATATGGCAGTATTATCCATTACAGATACACTTGTCTTATGGACTGGTTGTCTTAATCAATGGTTTTACCTTATGCAATTGCCAACATTGGTTATACAATCAAATTTTACTTGTAAAATGTTAACATTTTTATTTGTCACATTTGCTGATTTCAGGTAACATATTTCGAGTTTCATGTTAGAAGAGAGTTAAGTACATCTTAAATTATTAGCATTCGATTAGCTCTACGGTAAATCACTATTTTGGATGATTATAAACCGATTAAGTGAGCGTGACTTAAAAACAAAAAAAGTTATTTGTCTATTAATAAAAAATAAATAAATATATATGAATAAATGACATTTGTTTATATTTTTAATAGTGTGTGGACTATTGTTTGTATGTCGTTTGAACGTTATTTTGCTGTCTCTCGTCCATTAAGCGCATCTCAAACATGTACAGTTAAACGTGCAAAATTAGTATGTATATAGAGGAAAAGAAAAATCATTATAATTAGTATGTTTAATGATATAATTATATTTTAGGTTCTAACCGGTATTTTATTACTTTTTTCATTTATTGATGGTCATTTTTTATTCACATTAAATATTGTTAATCAAAATCACATTCCTGTGTGTATGCCTAAACCTTGGGCTGTTTATTTTGTTGAAAATGTTTTTATTTATATTGATGCCATTAAATATTCAGCATTACCATTTATCATATTGATTGTTTTAAGTATTTTAATAATAACAAAAGTATCACATGCAGAAGGTATTAGTGCACAATTACAAAATTTAAAACAATTAAATCAAATTTCAAATGCAAAACCGTCTATTTGTTCAGCATCACGAGTCGGTAGACGTGTCACATTTATGCTACTATCAGTTTCAATAGCATTTTGTATATTTTCAGCACCAAGTGAGTTATTCTCTTTTTAAAATTAATTATTCAAATTTAAAATTATTACTTTTTATTTTTATAGTGTCATTAATGCAAATTGTCCAATCATATTATTCAGATAATAAAAAACATCATTCAAAAGAAGTACATATAAGTCTGGTAATTGGAAAATCAGTTGCTGAAATATCACAATATATCAATCATAGTATTAATTTTTTCCTCTATGTTATGACAGGTGGCGTGTTTCGACTTGAATTTACTCGATTATTTTTTCCTAATCGTTATTATCCTGTTAACAGTAAACGTTGTTCAATATATTCGTTTGACAATCGTTCAGTTAGAGGACGTGCAATAGGAAGAAATGGTTTGATAACACCAGGAAATACGATCACTGAGAAACATCGTCATCATCATCATTCATTAACATTACCATCTGTTAAAGACGAATTAAACAATGATGATCGACAAGTATCAATAGGAAATGATACTAAATATTCCTTATTACAAAAAGCAGATAATATATCTTCACAACGACATCCATATACTGTATCCCAATTACGATCAATAAAAACTCAGCGAATTTCGTCAACAAATGTTAAATTGGGAACGCTTTTTAGCGTTATTTATCGACAGGAAAAAACACGAGAAACAAATGGAATTGATTTTATTGAAAATGTATGCGAGAATGATAGTACGAATAATATGTTACAAAATATGTATGTTACCAATTCTCCAAGAAAGAAGAAGAAGAACAGTAGTAAAGAGAAAAGCACGAATAATAACGATAAACTAGACAAGAGAGATAAATGTATTAACTAACTCTCGGAAAAATAATTAAAACAATACATGCGGTTGGAAAAAATTAGACAGATACTTTGAATGAAAATGATTCAAAAGATGATCAGTTTTTGTCTTTAACAGGTGAGATTTTACCATTTTTTAAACGTTCGTTTGCTGTTTGAAAATATGTTGTTAATGTCGAAAGAATCAATACTTCATTAAAGATTATATTCGTCCACTGTGCATATAGTTATTTTTATTCTATCGTTGTCTTTTTTTATCAATGATATAAAATTCTTTATCTGTAAACGATACCGGTTAAGCTCTATGTTTTAATGTTTGTTAGAAGTGAATCTCAGACAAGATATTTGACTTATAAACAAATAAAATATACCAGCAGTCGTGATCCTCATTATCTTCGGTAAAGTATTGCTATGTCGAAATGAATGAATGATTTCAAATGTAGATTTCAAACTTAATGATCTCTTGTATGGTTTAACATGAAACTGATTTGACAAAAATGAAACTATTTGTAATTAACTGCTGTTCAATGACAAGCTGACTTCGAAACGGTCCCTTCAGAAAAAGGAGGAAAAAAAGAGGAATGTCAAAGCTTCTTTAAGAGAAGCGGCAGGGTAAAAACGAGGAGTCGTCTTTTGATCAAAAAACGATATCGACAATGTCATGTCAAAGTGGCTTAACTCCTTGGAGACAGGGAATGCATATGTGCGTTCTGTCGTTCAGTTTTACAGTTTTCACCGTCAGACATCCATTTTTTGCAAACAATGTCATATTTAGAATCAGCATCAAAAATTTAATTGACTGACGTGTTTTAATGGGCTTGAGTTGATTATAACGATATAAAAATATTGGCTTTATCCTCTAACTAAAATGAGTTGAATATTTTTTTTCGTGTTTCACGCGTAAAAAACGGAGAAAAACACAGCAAAAACGAGTTATTCTAGTTTAAAAGGAGAATGTAGATGAACTTTGTGATCTAGTTGTGGCCGTACGAGGCGATGTTGGAGAAACAAATGTGATATTTTCTTTCAACTTTTTGATCTTTTCACGATGTTTATTTTTCTCCATGTGTTGTACTATCGGCCATCCTTTGTTCTCACAATCTAGTTCGTCTGTTCCACACAATGTATATACGAATGTTGATTCCTTAGCACCTTGTTTTTACCATCGTCTCACAGAGACTTTATCTACTGTTTCCTGTAACCATGAATGATTGAATGTTTTTGTTTCATATGACGGCATCGATAAAAAAAATATATCTGAAACTACTTTCGGATCTAAAAACAGCGTGAATTCTGGTATTTTGGCTAAAAAATCCCAGAAAAAGAGGAGAAGTCGCTCAAAAAGAGGAGAAAGAGGGCAGATCTTCGATTAAAGAGGAAAAAAGAGGAACATTACGAACCCAGGCGACAAGGAATTAAAGTTTACTATAAATCGATTTCACTGTGTATTCTTTGATTGACTATTTATTTATTTTGCAGTTATAATTATTTTGTTTTTTATATTTAATATTGCAATCCAAGAGAAAAATACATCTAGATTTTTAAAACCGACGTATACAAACAGTAGTGGAAGATAAAAATAACAGCAATAGAAATCGTTTGTTTTATGCTAATAATATAAATGATAGAAATATTTGCAAAAGATACTCACAAATACAAAGCAGGCGTAGAATTACATTTCATGAATGGGTTAATACAATGTCAAATAAACATTCAAAATGTGTAACCAACCATATTCGAAGCAATGATTACTGAACGCTAATAGAGCAGACCAGCTTTATTGTTACATTTACGATAGATCGTTAATACTTGTATACCTGACAATAGCTAGCATGTCGCTACAATCAGCGTTTTTGTCTAACGAATATTATAGGTCAAATAATTCTTTAAATATATTATAACTAGCAGATTCCATGTTTCAAGTTTTAAGCTCAAGTTTCAACATTTTATTGACCATTTTGAACTAAAAAATACAAAAGCAGGCTCTGTTGAATTGTGAACAATACGGTAGCAAAGTATAATTAATAATGTACTGAAAATGACAAGTTACGACTGTGTATTATCTGATAATGCTGACGAAGAAGAAGGCGGAGATAATGTGCTAAAGAGACAACAACTAGTTAGGATTTGTATTAAAGCAGTACTTTAAACAAGCTGTGGATCCCTCTTTCAATACCTTGAGCAGAATTTCCTTGACGTGACATATGAAATGTTTCAATGGATTCCTCATTATCTATTTTTTTCAGGATCAACTGGTTGAACAACAGTCTATAAATGTTTTATCACGGATGCGACACCTCTTTGATGTTTCATTAAGTTAATGAATGATTTATTTATAGTAGTATAGTATACCTGGGATGATTACGTATTTTTCCGTTGGACTGAGTAAAGTCTGAACTATAAAGAACAATGAAAACAAAATTTTTTTAATCGACTTTGAGTAAGAAAAAATTATGTAATCATAGAAACTAGAAGTGTTTTTATTGCTCTTTCGAATGGGATGTGTTAAATTATCTTTCAATTTACTTTTCAATTAGAACTTTGTAAATTTCCTTTTATTTCAGAAAAAGAGTTGATTAGACTTAATCAATCATTTTCCTATACTAAATGAACTTTGTCCTTTTACTAAACTACATTTTCTGTAACAGGGTTTAATTTTCTAAAATTCACATTATTATCCATTTCAAAAAAGAAAAAGGATGGCCATTTCTTGAATAACTTTTGATTAGTATGCGATGAACACAAACGGTTGGTACCGTTAGAAAGCTCAGAGCTTCTGCTATCCAACCGCATATTTGG